TTTTATTATCAATTACTTGTGTATGATTTGTTACGTATTTAATCAACTTGTGTAGCTAGTTGCGTAGACTATATGAACACTTGTTATCATTACATAGTACTTATTTGAATATCCTCTGTTTCTTGGACATTTCTCAGTTTCTTTTTCTTTTTTTTTTCCTCAAAATTTGTTATCTTCTTGAGCTGAAATACATATATATGATCTCTTTATTTGGACATATTCAATCACCTTGTCAAATAACTCATACTTCCTATAGTTACATCCAATCTATTCGACCATTTTTTTCGTCAATTTTTGCAGATTTTTATAAGACACCATTATGTACAAGGTGAGGTTTGACGAGCAGGCGGCCGATGATCCAATGGACGACAATGGATACATCGAAATTGATCCAACGGGTCGTTATGGCCGAGTAAGCTATAGCTCTTGTTCTGTTTCTTGTTCATTATGTGCTCGATTTTTTGCCACACTAGTAATTACTATCGTTTATGGATATATAGTTCGATGAAGTTCTTGGAAAAGGTGCAATGAAAACCGTGTACAAGGCTATTGACGAAGAGCTCGGGATAGAAGTCGCGTGGAATCAAGTTAGGCTCGTCGATTTGCTCAAAACTCCGGACGACGTGCAGCGCCTTTATTCCGAGGTTCACCTTCTCAGCACTCTCGATCACGGCTCGATTATCCGATTCTACACTTCGTGGATAGATGTCGATAACCGGACCTTCAATTTCATAACCGAGATGTTCACTTCCGGCACTCTCAGAGAGTAAGTAATTGCCCTTCAATTAATCTTATTCTTGCAGTTTTGAATTGTATTAGTTTTTCTTCTTTAGAAGTCAACTTTAATTGAATTTACTCAACTTGGAATATTGAATTAGGCATTTCAGGTTCTTTCTGGTTCAGGTTGTAATGTTAGGAGACTTAGTATATTTGTCTGAAAATTTGATACTTATCGCCAGGTACAGAGCCAAGTATAAGCGAGTGAGCATCCGGGCCATAAAAATATGGGCTCGGCAAATACTCGAAGGGCTCGTTTATTTGCACGGCCATGATCCTCCCGTCATTCATCGGGACCTAAAATGCGATAACATATTTGTCAATGGCCATCTTGGACAAGTCAAGATTGGTGATCTTGGCCTTGCAGCTATTTTACGAGGTTCGGATAGAGCACACAGTGTGATAGGTACTTAAAAATCGAGCATATTGTGTTTTTTTTTTTGAATTGCGTTCGTTTTATTTTTTCATTGCTTATTTCCCGCTTAATTAATCGTATGAGAATTTTTTGTCTAGGCACGCCGGAGTTCATGGCACCGGAGTTATACGAAGAAAACTACAACGAGCTCGTCGATGTGTACTCGTACGGAATGTGCGTTTTAGAGATGATTACTTCCGAGTACCCATACAGTGAATGCAAAAACCCGGCTCAGATATACAAGAAAGTGACATCAGTAAGATTCGTAATTCATAAAATGGGTAGCAGAAAAAAAGTTGAAACGTTAGTAATCGGAAACTGAATTTCGTTGAATCGTTGGTTCATTTGTTTAATTAAAGGGTAAGAAGCCGAGGGCATTTTTCAAAGTCCAAGATTTGGATGCGCAGAGATTCATCGCGAAATGCTTGCAGAACGCACAAAAGAGGCTGTCGGCTAAGGAGCTGATGCTCGACCCATTTCTTTCAGTTGACTGTTTTGACAACAATGGTGACGGACTAAGTGTCGAGTATCAGAAGCCTTTCCTGAATGAAAGTGTCGAGCTCGAGCGCTTGCAGTTGAACGATAATTTTCCCAAGTCGAATATGACTATTACGGGCACGTTAAACCCGGACGATGGTACCATTTTCTTGAAAGTGCAGATTGCTGATAAAGAAGGTAGTTTCATTTTTTTTCTTTTTTGGTTTTTTGTGGATATTTACTATTTAGCAATATATTTTTTTTAACTTATTTTCCTCTGTTTTTTTCTCTCATCATCAGGTGCCGTGCGAAATGTTTTCTTTCCGTTTGATATAGTTTCCGATACCCCACTTGACGTTGCGAATGAAATGGTGAAGGAGCTCGAGATTAGCGATTGGAGGCCTTACGAAATAGCAAATATGATCGACTCTGAAATATCGGGCCTTGTTCCCGACTGGAAAACCGAGCATCCGAGTTGTCAACAAGACGAATATGAACACCAAAATCTTTATTCGCCGTCCTCTTCATCGCAAGTCTCGGCTTTAGGCTGGATTCCCTCTCATAAGTTGGATTCTAACTTGTTTGATGACACCAGCTCCCAAAGCTCATCACATTCGGAGAAATATTCCAACTGGGCCTACTACTCTGCAGACGAGCACCAGCCCGTGATAAGCCCAAACCGAGTGCCGAGCCCATCAAGGTTCGGCCCTGGGGAGAATCTTTCGAAAAACAAGTCGAAAGTGACACCTCAGCTCATGAGAAACCGGTCTTTGGTGGATACTCGGAGCCAATTGCTACACAGGTCGCTGGTTGAGGAGGTCAACAGACGACGATTGTTCAATACAGTTGGGGCAGTGGAGAACATCGGTTTTCAGTCGCCTTATGAAGTTTCGCGTAAAATGAAGACGAGTGGAGTGAGTAATAATGCAGCTGGCTATTCGTCGAGTGTGCACGGTAATGTGACGTGGCAAGGTACTCGAACGAGACGAGGTTAATCAGTGTTTTTTTTTTTTTTTTTTTNTGTGTAAGCGTTGTAAAAAATTGTCGTGCGGTTGAAAACATTGCGGATGTAATTTTTAAGAATAAAAATGATTGTGTGGAGAAAAATTCGTGGATTTTGTTTTTTTAAAGTATGACATTCTACATTTCTGTCAAGTGATCAACTCGTCTAAATGTTAAATCGAGTTAGGTTAACATGTTTTTATTTGGAAAATGCTACAAATACGTAATAAATGTACACAAAGGTGTACATAACATTCACATGGAGTGGGTCCACTTGATTTTTTATTTTTAGTAGGTCTCACTCAATGTGAGTGTTATGTACACTCATATATTGTACCTATAACATTCATAACACTCATATATTGTACCTATAACATTTCTTAAATAAAAAATCAGTGGATCATGTAAATGTTATATACACCTTTATGTACATTTACTATGTACTTGTAGTATTTTCTTTATTGACACTGATGATGAAGATGCAATACATGACAATGTGATTTTCATTTTCAAAAGAAAAATAATTTGAAAAATCAAAAGGGTCATTTTCTCTTTATGCATGAACAAGATAATGAAGATGATAATGTGATTTTGATTTTCAAAAGAAAAATAATTTGACAAATCAAATTGAGGGGTCATTTTCTCGCATGAACCTAAAGACGCTTGAATTAAATGATTATACTCTCACTTTAAACTACAACTCAAAAGTCGCTTTACCCAGGCCTAGCTGCCTGTACCTTATCTACAGAAATATTGCTCTTCGCACTATTATGTGAAAATGGTGGATCTCAATATCAATTATCAAATTTGCGTATGTTCCAACTGAATTTCAGCAATTAAAATTTTTGTTGGATTTTAACAATTCCAACATCAATTTGTTGAAATTGTATATTCCAAACCATTGAAAACAAATGTAATAGAATTTCAAGAGAAATTTTATTTCAACAGAATATTTTAGTATTAATGTTCGTTACAATTTTCCATTAACTTCTAACATTGGGATATTCGTATACTTTTTTATTGAAATAGTTTTTTTCATTGACCGTTGGTGTTTGATATATTTTTAAATGGCGAGAATTTGAAAAAAAAAAAATGAAGCTGGATAAAGGAAAATAAATTTAAATAACAGATACTATTTTCACCTTTTTTATATTTTGACTCCTAGGATCATCAGACCTGTCAGAGAGTATTATGAAACAAATGCAGACATGAGAACAGAGTATAACAACCTACCCTACCATCTTCTAGTTTTTATTCTTTCTTGAATGTAATTATCTTATATTTATTAATCTAATGAATTGATTACAAGTCAAACTATGAATATTATCATCACATACAATACAAATAATGAAATTATAATAAACAACACGGGCTGAAAAACCGTTTGTGATCTATCAAACTACACATTTCTAAGATCATACATATAAAAATCACTATTAACAAAGTCAATATAAACAAAGACTAATTACGACATTAATCCACAATCCATACTCTAATTACAGATAATTGTAACTCGCTTCCTCATGAGGAACTCTAATCGTCCTGTCTAACGATGAGACGAGATTAGTACTTTTAATGTTGAAAAGTGACTATTCTGCAATAATATCACTTTTCACCACTAAAAGCACGTCTGACCACGTGACGGTAAAACTAAAAATCCTGCTGATGATCAGACATGAGCCCGAACCATATTTGCTCGAAGGCCCGAATAATCAGCCCGTGATACCGATTCGAGTTCAACGAGAGGTAACACGCGAGAAGATCCTCGAGGTCCTTCGAAGCCCATATATTATTCTCCATAATCATCTCCACCATCGACTCCCGGAAGTCCCGTTCTGGGTCGACCGAGGCCTTCACGATCGCTAGACTCTCGGCGTAAAACGGGCCGGGCCGGTTTTCCCCAACCCTGTTCGGGCCCTTACTCCCTCTTCGGTTGACTTTCGTTCCCGTTCTCGGCCCGTTCCCACGGAACTTCACCTTCACCCCTACGGCCCGGGAGAATGACTTTCGGGCCGGGCCTACATTCCTCCTCGGCCCGGTAACCGGTTTTGTCATGATTGGCGGCGGATGGTCGAGGTCCGGCTCGGATGTCGAGTCGGGCTCCGCGGAAAGGCCCGGGAAAAGCCCGGAAGAATCGGACTCGAGAAAAAAATCACTCAAGTCGTCTTGCGAGTCGAAATCTTCGGGCCTCGGCCGTGGGGACGGCATGTATATAGTCTTACGTGTCGCGCGTTTCTTGGACGAGCACGGGTTGGGTTCGTGGGGGAAACGGGCCTCAAGGAGTTTCGGGTTTTGGGGTGAAAACGGGTTGTGGACGGGCCGGGATTCGGAGGAGTGGTAGTAGGATTTTCGGGGGTTCTTTTGGGCCGGTGGTGGGGGTAACTTTCTNTGTAGTTATAGCATATGTGGAGCTAGGTTTTATAGAGATGTATGAGTTTCTTTGGGAAAGAAATGCAATTTTTGGTACATCAACTTTGGTTGTTTTTCATTTTTATTCATTCACTTTATAGGGTTGTAATTTAATACAATAATTTTTTATCAACTTCGTCCAATAGTTTTAATTTATTGTTAACTGTTTTTTTTTGGGTGCAATTTATTGTTAACCGTTAAATCTTCATTTTGCTATATATAATTATATATCACAACGAAATTCTAGACTTGATCAATCTAAAGATATTTTTGATTTTGTCATATTATTCTTCGGAAATCCGACCATTAGATCTTTTTTTTAAATATTACCTTTCTTAAATAATTACATCCTCAAGTCTCAAATATTATCTTCTGATAAAAATTCCAATATTTACATAATCGGAAGTTTAACATTGAATTACAGCTTATCGTCAAAGCAAATTCGTGTCGACTTCAACGACCAATTTATAATACCCCTTTTTCAAATGAAAAATTAGTAGAGCTCTTGTTTTGCTCAAAATCCCTCAATTCATGTTCTGTGTTCGTAATCAATGGAAACTTCATCGTTTTTTCATCTTAATATCAAATAAACATTATTGTACCAAACTACAAACCCGAAAATTAATTGACAAAAATGGGAAACAACCAAAATTGGAAAACAAAAATGGCATTTTTCCGGGTTTCTTTACATGCAATCCTAGAAATCCAGATATTTGCTTAAATAAATTGTATGATTGTTATGTTCAAATTAAATACTAAAATAGAAGGATAGAATACAAATTAATAAAATAAAATAAAAAAGGTGGTGGGGGCAAAATGATGTCTTTTTAAAAAAAGATTAATTGATGGTGGGAGGGGACCCATAGCCAAGGGAACACAAGCATGCATCAAAGCAAAGTGGAGGCAGCAGGCCAGGTTTTGCTGCTGGCTGCCTTTTTGTAAACTGTAACAACACAATGCAAATTGCATTATGTTCCACTTTTTTTAAAATTAGAATGTGGGCTGTTTTTTCTTTTTCTTTTTTTTTTCGTTTTTATTTATATTTTATATGTGAAAACCTTGAATTTTTAATCAATATAAAATATTCCAAAACATAAATTTTTGTGTGTAAATGATTATTATGTCGGCCATATATACACTTTAAAAATAATATAAATTAAAATACGTTATTTTTACAATGAAAGTATAATTTGTCGATTAGACATTCTCCCAGGAATTTATAACAAGAGACGACTGTTAAAATAATGCCATCAGTGTCCTATTATTATTTGTAGCGACAGACCCAGAAATTTAGTAGATGGGGGCCGAAAGCAATATGAACATAGGTTTATATTAATTATACTCGGACTTTCAACATATTACTGACAATTTCAGTTTAATTTTTATAAATAGAGTACATGACTGTAAAAAAAAAAATTTAACAAAATGAAAGTTAATTCAAAGTATAAATAAATATGTTTATGTAAAAGTAAAAAATTTCTTAATCAAATTAACATCACGGTTTTTCTGCAACGGTCCACAAGAAACACCGTGTTTGCTTTTGGTTGGCGTGGATTTTTCTAATTTGTCCAATGAATGGCATTTTTGTATTCAAAGGAGTAGATATGTATAAATAATAGTGATTTAATTTTGGTCTAATTCAATTGAGTAGTATAAACTATAAAGAGAGAAACAAGTAAAAAATTATGTATGATTGATCGTCATCATCATAACATTGGGAATCACAATATACCGAGATTGCTGGGTTTAGTTACTGCGAAGTTCTTCCATAAAAACATAAATTCTCGTTAGGTGCAATGATTGGTTAGATCATCATATGATTTAACTACAAATGAAAATGAAATTGCAAATTTGCAAAGAATATTTGAACTTAACAAATAGAGAGCTAAACTGTTACTTAACTCATGTGGCAAACCAATCTTTTTATTTTTTTTTTTCTTTTTAAGACACTTTCTTTGCATCATTTTCTCTCATTTTGAAGTTAAAAAGGATCTTCTCATAAAATTTTGAATATTTAAATCTTTCTTAATTATTAGTTAAGTAAAAACCCCTTCTTAAAGTAAAATTAAAGAACGTTGGTTCTCGCAACTACGCAAAATCTCAAAACATCCAGCTTGACTAAAAAAACTGTTTGACTTAGAAATTCATCATGCTTTATTTTTCTTTCCCCTTCTTTTTGGTGACTGTGTGTGTAGGCGTGGGTCAATTTTTTGACAAGCTTCATCTTTAAGGCCAATAATGCAGTTTCACATTTTGAATACATTAACCGAGTTGTTTTTAACAGGATCTTGTCTGATTTAGTTTCTTAAGAGCGTCATTAAGTATTATGATTAACAATTAGTAATAATGGAGTATGATACAATAATAGCTAGCAAAATAAAGGCACATACATATATATGTCTAAAAATGGGTTTCTAAATGATGGGTTTCTAATTTCTTGAACTGTGCATAAACTGATTAATCAGCCAGCGTGCAAGAGCTCATATGTTATGCCACCAATTTCCCTTTTTCATTAATATCACATGTCAGCGCTTCGTCTGAACAATTAAAGCATTAATTTATATCAATTTTAATTTTTATTTAGTTATATGTAAATTCCTAAATTTATAGTTATTAATGTATGAACATGCAAATGTCTAGGAACTTCAAATCTATACTTATATAAAAAGGGATCCTATTTACTACAAATAGTATCCAGAAAAGTCAACTATAATTAATGCTATTACTATTTCCAACATGTATTTTATTTAATTATTTTATGTTGAAATTAATGCTATGCGATTCAATTAATGTTATTACTATTGCCATACAATCGGTTTTCCTGCGAAAAAATCTCATAAAATCGGTTTTAATTTTTTGTATATTTGAAATTTCTTATTTATCTTCTATTTGTTTTATCTCATACAATCCGTTTAATCAACAAAATCCCATAAAATTGTTTTAAACTTTTTGTAGATTGAAATTGAAATTTCCTTCTTATCTTTTTATCAAAAATTACATTCCCTCCTATTTTTAATAAATGTCGTTTTGAGAAGTTGCACAATAATTAAGAATATTTCTTTGGTCAATAATAACCCTCATTAATGAGGATAGAGATTGATGTTTTGAGAAAAGATGGAAAGTGAATATGAAAAGACGTAGTGTATTTATTAGTTAGATGAGGGTAATAATAGAAAAATATGTACAAAATAGCCAAAACGACATTTATTTAACAAATAATCAATTAAGCTAGAATGACAAATAATAAAAATAGGAGGGAGTATTATTTATGTATTGAAATTCTATAATCCGATTTCAGATTGTATCATTAAGAATATATTATAGTTATATTATCAAATCATAAAAAGATACTAAATCAATATTGTAAAAAAAATTCATATAATTTTATAACAATTCTACTACACTATTTAACAGTATTCCTTTTGTTATATAATAAATTAATAATAAATATTATATAGTGAACAACAATAAGTAAAAATGTAAAACTGTTATTTTCTCTTATATCAAGAGATAAATTTATATACTAAAATTAAATATTTATTAGTATAAATGTTTTAGTGAGATAATATATTAATTATTTTACATGTTAGCCCTAACATGCTCATATTTAATGTTCTGGCTAAAAAAACAACGCTGGTTAAAAGACATGGAAAAAAAATTTATAATTTTTTTAGACTTAACGTTGATTAAAAGAGGTTGAAAATATATAATAATCCTATTATTTTTTAGACTTAAACGGACAAGGGTGTGAAAATATCTCATTTAATATTTCTGTCTCGTGCATCGCACGGGGTACGTACTAGTGTTGAGAATAATGTGTCTTCATTTTCAAAATTAAAATTTCCCAGCTAATTATCTGAATTTCATTTTTTATTGGTTGAAATTTTCCTTTCAAATTGCAAATTGAAAATGGTTTCGTTTCCCAATAATACTACACGTCATCCAAAGTAGTAGGGAAAAAGAACTAAAAAGAATGGGTAGTACTATTCTATCGCCTCCTATTACTACTTACCGCTCCTTTGGACAATTTTGCCCTTAATATTTTTTTCTAAAAAGTAAAAAAAAAAAACTGTCCGACCGGCGAAACCGGACGGCTTTTAGCACGTCCGACCGCCGTTTTTTTTTTTTTTATAAATTATTATGTTATATATTCGAAATAATTATGTTATAAATTGAACGTTAGATATTATCGTGTTAGGAGTTAGAAATGATTATGTTACATGTTAGACTTCATTATGTATGGTTTTTTATTTCTGATAATATCTAACGTCCAATTAATAGCATAATGAAATCTATTAATTGGACGTTACATATTATCAGAAATAAAAAAACCATACATAATGAAATCTAACATGTAAGCCACTCTTCATAAGGACCGTCTGATCGGTCTCAAGAAACCTAAAAAGGACAATAAAACCACTACACACGAAGGCCATATTCTGAAAATCTTGTTAATTTTGATTTCACTAAGATCCATTTCTATATATACATGCAGAATTTTCCAACTCTAATCATCAGCTTTTAGGGTTGCCAAAACTTACATGCCAATTTTATTTTTTTTACGGAATAAGGAACTTATATTAGATTATCAAAATAGAGTCTTTACATACAAGATCCTTAAGCCAAGAAGGAAAAGTGTCCACCTTCCAAAAGAAAAGGGAGCTGGAAAAAGAAGCAAAAGACGCAATAGCATGAGCAACTTTATTTGCCGATCAACGCATGTGACAGAGTTGTCGTCTGGATTTTGGAGTTTCCGACAATAAATCACGGATATCATTGGCCCATGAACAAGTGTAGCCGCATGACTCGTTGTTGTCGGCAACTGCTTGTACCGCCAACAATGAGTCCGAGAAAGTCTGAATAGGAATGTGTTTCAACTCACCACAATTTTCCAAACCATGTTTAATGGCCAAAAGCTCACAATTAATAACTGAACCCGGATTACTAACAAACCATGTTTAATGGCCAAAAACTTACATGTCAATTTTTTACACTAAGTTGCAATTTTCGAATCCAATGGGGTTCAAATACTGCTCTGCTAGACTGCCTTTATTAGTAGATGAATAGTAGAATCAGATTACGATATAACACTACCAGTAGACATGGCCACGGGCCGAACCGGCCCGTGGCCCGGACCGCGAACCGGTACCGAACCGGCCCGGACCGGCCCGTAACCGGCCATATTCGGGGCGGTTCGGTCCAGGTTCCAAAAAAACAAAAATTTGTACCGGCGGTCCGGGCCGGGCCGGGTCGGGCCACGGGCGTACCGCCGGCAACGGTTATGTNGGGTCCGGGCCCGAACCGGTCCCGGACCGTCACTTTTTTCGGTCCGGGTCCGGGCCTCGTCCATGTGGACCGTGGACCCGGCGGGCCGGGCCGGGCCGGGCCCGGACCCGGCACCTGGCCACGTCTAACTACCAGCGAACACAAACACTGATTTGTATCGGCTGATGCAAAGATTAGTATAGATACCATGATATGAACCGTCAACAGCACAAAAAGGTAAAATATATTTACAGGTCAACTTGCAGCAGATAATCTAGTTACATATTAGCATTTGTTTCGAAATAAATAACACTGCATAAGAACTGGCTGTCACGTTAATCGCCTGCCTATGACTATATTATAACACAAAGCAAAAGTACATCAATTTTTCACAATTAGTACCCGAACTTGAGAGCTCGTCTGGAGACAAAAACTTGAGACTTAATCACAGTCTTCCCCAGCTTAAAGCCAGGCATGACCATGAACTCAACTTTGCATCTTTCTTGGCTTATATCCATCCCAGCCTTGTATTCTTTAAGCTCCTCAACAACCTCCATAAAAATATCCGAGAACTCACTTCCTTGCTTGACACCATAGATTTCAGCTTTAGGCTCAATAAAAGCAGCAAACACGTTTAAATACCATACCCACCTCGCCATCCTCACAAATGCGTGATAAAACTGCGTGTTGGGATGAATCCCATTTGCCATTAAATTCCTGTGGTCCAAATTTCCGAAAAAGCATTCCTCCATCTTGGGATGCACCACCAACATATATTTTGTTCGGCAAAAATCAGCAAAATTAGATCGCGGGTCATCCATTAAAGCAATAATAGGATTATCCAAATTCATCACGTTCTTTAAAAAACAGGGCTGTGGGGAAAACCCATGAAACATCCTCCGCGCAACATAAGCTTCAAAGGCGTATTTTTTGTGTGACCTCTTTGAGTATATAACCGATTCTTGCACAGCATTAGCAGCCCGATCGAGGTCCCACCCTGAAAGTTTCATCAAGGCTATTAACGGCTTAGCAAAATCGTGTATAGCTTTTCCGGCTTCTTTTACCACATTTTCGAATGAGGAGCAATGCAGAGTCATAAAACTCTCCCTCTCACACTCCCTAATCTCCTCACCCAATTTTTTGTTCCTCATTTCCAATTCGTTAAGCTTTCCCCTCAGAGTAGCCACCTCCCTGCACTTACTTTTGGCTCGTGACTTCAACTTCTCGAGAACCCTTTCTTGGACTTGAATTTCAGCAAGCAAATGCGATGAATTTGACCAAACACAATTAACCTCCTTTGATAGCCTCTCCTTATAAGCCCTTTTTATAGTGCAGATTGTCTCGAGCAGAAACACCACCTCCTCATCAGCAGCTCTTATTTTCATGGGATTATAGGGAATGTGAGCTTCTTGGAGCTTAACATAAGCTAATTTTAGAGCCGAAAGAGAGTCGAACAATTTCGATATCTCCAGACGGGCACACGCATTCGGGTAAGTCTTTGACCCATAGGATGCAACATCCCCAGTGGTCATTTCTTGCTTCATGAAAGGTGTTGCTTTGTCACCGGACATTTTAGGGAAAGTTTGAGCATTGACAGGGTTTTCAGATGTACCAAAGACACCAATCGACCTAAACTTACCGACTTTGGAAACATTTGAAGGGGGTTTAACGGGTTTAGAACTAGCTGCAAACAACATCCCCTGCTTATCTGACCTCAAACCCATTTTCGCAGAAAACTTGATCAAATCCAAGACCTTTTTACAACTAAGGAACACAAAAACTGGTTCCTAGACTATCTAGATGGTTCTCAAGAAAGCAATACAACCGGGAAAAAAAAAAGGATTCAAAATGAGACCAAATAAAGAAAATAGGGCTACCAGATTTTTTAAGATAAATAAAAAAAGAAACTGAAGGACCCAAAAGAAACCGAAAGAGACTAAAACGAACAGAACAAAATCAACCAAACGCGTAAAAATCCAAACTTTCTCAATAAAATCGGCATGGCCATAAAAGAGAAACACACATAATTGCAATATCTTTTTTTCCCAGATTGAAGCCAGGCAGAGAGAAAAAAGGCAAACAGTTTGTCCGGGGAGACTTACAGCAGAAGGATGGAAATTAAAGCAGAGTTTTTTGGCAGACAAAAAACGACGCGGCCGCTCGAGCGATAAAATGAGCACCGAATTACAGTATTTTGGAATGGGGAGCTTGGGGCGGTGGAGCACAGGGTAAACGACGTCGTTCGGGGGAAAATACGGTGTGTATGTATACACAAGGCTCGAGCGGTTAAATGATTATTATAGTGAAGGAACTTGATTACAGCACTCATGGTTCTGACTTCTGACACAAAAACAGTACTCATTGCACTGTGTGAGAGGAAGTGTGTGTGAGAGACAGGTGAAACGACGCCGTTGCGCAGGTGTGTGTGATTATCTTTTTGAGAAGGAACACGAAGGGAATCTTTACTGTACTATGGGTATGGGTATTGCTGCCAAGCACGGAAACAGAGAGAGGGAAAATATTTTCGAATTTCCAATATTTTTTTGTAGTTTTGTGGGAGAGGACAATAGCCAATAGGGGTAACTAATTATTAAATAAAACAATATAAAAACAGACACACTTTAGACCTTAATATTAATATTGAGATTTGTGTCATGGTGTTTTGAGTATTTTTCAAATATTTTCAATGTTGGACAGAAGTTAGAACTACAATATTGCATGATCAAATAGTCAGTTTCTGAAAGGTAAATATGAAAAAGATTATATACTGGGCGTAGCCAGAAAAAAATCTAACCGGAACTACATATTATTGAAGCTATTATTGGAACTAAGTAGACATCGCATAGTCAGAAAAAAATCTAACCCGGAATTACATATTATTGAAGCTATTATTGGGACTAAGTAGACATCCTGAACCGACACAAACTGGCCCGTTAACCACGGGTCTTGAATCGGCCCGTGATTTTGACCAGTTCGATTCATGTTCAATACTTTATAATTTATACATTTTGAACCGGCGGTTTCAATTTCGAACTGGAATCGAAATCGAAGGTTCAACCTTTTTTCACAAAAAAAAAATATTTTTTTTAATGAACTGGGCGGCCAAGAACTGACGGTTCAATGAAATGGCCCGTGCATATGTTCGGTCAGTTTCAACCCTCTCCCCACGACAGGCGATTTCGACCCAGAGTCGGTTTTGGCCATGACAAGAACCGAATATTTTATTAACATATTTCGATTCGACTTGTAAAAACTCAATCTCGACTCGCTTATATATTTAAACATGTCAAATTCATAGCTAATTGAACTTGTCGATGAAGAGTCATAAGTTACTCAATACTATCACTAACTTTAGTGTATTAGATGATACTTTGTCTTATGATCTATAGGCTACGTAAATTTTTAAATACTATCAAATCATATCAATCATTATTGTTAGAAAAAATGAGATGCGTAACTTTTACACGCCATTCAGGTCAAATAAACGTGAAATGAAGTATATCTTTCTGATGTAACAACGTTAAGTTAATTAGTTAAATAATAATTATAATCTTGTTTGCGTGTCAAACAACTTGTAAATCATTTCACAATTCATGCTTTTAAGAAGAGCAGTATCAGTTACAATTCTCCTATTTGAATTTCAAATTTGCTATCATGAAGTGTATAAAGCATAAGAACTTTATAGACTCCAATTTGGAATATAAGAGGCAAAGGCAGTCAACCGATAAGGTTAACGCTGGCCCACAATGAGGATCCCCTCAAGTAATATTAAAAAATGAGAAAATAAAAACTCTTGAGCCAATTTTAATATAATATTCTAAAATTAAGGAATGCATATGCAAAGACCAAATTACACGTACATGCATCTTATAAAATATAAAATATACACACTATTACATAGTTCAACACTTCCAATTAGTAGTATATGTGGATGTAAGCTAGTGATTTGGGCTACCACTTCCAATTTAGCATGTAGTTCATTATTATGTTACTGCCTATGATGGGCCCAACTAGAAATCTGGGCTGGAAAGACTTACGCTTGGAAATATTGGTGCAATAGGTTCACATTGGTTATGTGCAAGGACTAGCCGGACCCCACCTTTATTGCCGGAGCGGAGACTACTGAAATATAACGCTAAAGCGGTTAAACGAAGCCAACGGCTCGTAAATTCTGCTGGCTCGCTGAGGCACAAAATTAAAAAAAATTATATAATTTTTTTAATAGTTTAATTAGTTCGTTAAGGCTAGATAAAGGAGCTAAGCTTTTGTCTATCAATCCATTTAGAAAAGGAGTCAAGGCAAAGCTCAAACCCGAGATCAAATATCAGGAGCTCAATCTCTACTCTATTTTTACATCTCTATATAACACACTATTGATTCATGACATTAAAAAAAATTACAACATGAGTTCTCTAAAATCATAAATGCCTTTAAGAAGAGAACTTTGTACTCTCTTTATTTTCCTTTAAATAAAAATATTATATTACGTATGTTATTTCCGAAAAATAAAATGTTAGCATAAAAATATGTACATTTGTCAAAAAATATACAGTTATTTAATTGTTTGGTATAGCTAATAATAACAACATCATTAGTGACTGCATAAATATTTTTCAATTAAGTATCCAACACCAATTAGCAAAGAGTAATATACAACATAAATAGAAAGAACAAAGGTGGTTGGAAAACAAGAGCCTGCCACACGTTTTCCCCCTCAAAAGGTTAATTAGACCCATTTTATATATGCATGTGAGTTCATGCCCTAATTTTGCCTTCTTTCTGTTGCAAATTTGCAATACAATGCTGCCCATATTTTGCATTTTTTTGGTTTTCTTTGTTGTCTTGTTGTTCTCTGTCTGAGATTCTGAAGTTGACTCTATATAGCTTGTTTCCTTTAAATCTTACCACAAATATTAATGGATGTTGATGTTGGAAATATAAATTATGGAAAAAGATGTGCCACTTTGAGCTCTGGCTTTAGTTTTTGAGCACGCATTTTCCCTTTTACGATGTTACGGTTCAATATCATGTCCTTATGATTTTACAGTTATAAGGAGTTGATTTTGAAACAGGGCCATATTTTTTAGTGTGATTGGATACAATTTTATACGAGAACACATTTTTTTAAATGAAAATACATATTTATGTTATGAAATGGTGTACTTATGTTGATGTTAAGTTTTAAAATTTCACCTTTCAATTTGAAGGTAACAGGAGCCTTACTGACCAGAGAATCTTTATCTAGGCATTAATATGTTAAATCAACTCATACAAATAATAATAATGTTGTTATATAAGTGTCACTAGGTACAAGTCAAATATTAGTGCAATATTCTATATTAATCTAGATGAAGGTTCAACCTGATTAATCTAGATTATGTTAATGATATACATCTGTACAATATTCTTACAATACACAGGGATTTAGGTAAACTTGAATACATGTTTGGAAAACCATCAATTTCAAATTGTATATGAACATCAAAAAAGAAATTACAAGATTGGCACCTCAAGCAACCCACAAAATTGGCCTACCAAAAAGAAATAAAGAGAAAATAAAAAAAAAATGCAATAATACATATGTATTATCAGTTATGTACTATGTAGTCTATGTTCTTGGGTCGGATTGTTTTTTTGTCTGCATCCTTTTGCCTTTGGAATCTCACAAATTGATCGATTAAACCAAAAAAACACCATACTTAAACTTTAGAACATGGACCATTGCAAAAATGTACAGGGTGGGGAGTTTTTGAACACTACTTAGTTTGGGAAAATTGTAGAAAAAAATAGTAATAAAATTATAAAAACATCCAAGAAAATNAGAAAGAAAAAAGTGTATGCTTCAAAATCTCAACACTAAACATGGCAAATGCAGAGGAAATTGAGTGCACCATTGTTGTTCCTATATCTGGAACTCACCACATATTCATGTTTCTATTTTTGTGTCCCACGTCTCGGCCCACCTATATTCGGATGGCCCGTAACTTTGCAACTACCTTTTTTAAACCATTTACGACAACTCGTGTATTGTCTCATTGACGTGCGTACAGAATTATCATGTCTCAGATTGGAATTCAAAAATCTTTTCAAAGTGTGTGACTGAGTGATGATATATATCTTGATCGATATCCCTGCATATATTTTTTCTCTGTCTTCCATTTTAAGCAGTGAGTGCAAAGTCCACCACTTCCCCACAAAAGAGATTAAAGAGAGACCAAAATTTGATCATTTGTAGTTTAAAGGTTTGCGAGTGAATTACAACTATTGCATGGACTGAGTTTTTCGTGCTAATTTCTTTCGAGGGTTCATCTTTCTTTCTTTGTTTCTTTTCTTTTTTTTTTTTTTTTCACTCTTTT